TATCTAAAAAGAGTGATTTGAAAGATTGATCGATTTGTGTACCAATTGCCTACGATAAAAGTTATTTTCATCGATCTGCGATGTTATCTGCTTCACGCTACCATCTCTAGCATGCCGTTTGATGTACAGGCGTCACCACGAAGGTTGGTGCGCGGGTGTGTCGACAACACACGTTGGAGCCAGTTGGACACATTGGGTGACAATAACCGAGCTCTGAACTGAGCTCTGACTTGACTTGAGTGGCAGCCAATAATCACTGTACGAGTATGTGATTGCATACACACATATGTACATACAAATCTGTGTCTACAGCTGCATTTAAAAGTATAGCACTGAAGACTTTACCTAAAGATCAGTTGAAATCGGCAGAGTTAATTTAATCAACACAAAATCTTACATTAAAAATATTAGTTATCCATTTCAATGTACACAGAATTCGTGTGTATTGTTTGTACTTTATTTATTTAAGGAACCGATTCCTAAGAACTAATGCTATAATAATGAACACAATTGTACAATACCAGTGTCAACCCTCGGTCCTTAGCCCATTGTTGGGTCGCCTTCGGCCCAGGCGGAATTTTTCGTTGTGTACTGTTTTTTTTTTGGTTTTTATTTTTTTGTTATTTGCTTTTGGCTGTGACCGCGACGCGTATAATTTACACGTTTTGCTCATTTGCGATTCTAGGCTCGAAACATAAACAAAAACAACAACAAAAATACGAAATGAATTTAAATCCGCACTCAATACCCAACCAAAGAGAGAGAGAGAGAGAGAGAGAGAGGGAGAGCTTCTGCGGCTGCGCAACTTCGGCAAGAGGGTTACGATACTTTTTCCCTCCTTCTCACCCTCTTCAGACTGAGTGAAATTCCGACAAGTGGCATAATTGCGCCCTGCGGCGGCTACCGTGCCACAAGAGGGATTCCAGAGAGCAGGGCAGAGGCTGGCACCGGCACCCAAGTGGCCATCGATATACACGGGAGGAACAAAAAATCGCAAATCATAACTGCAGCAACAACAAACAATAAATAAGTGCACAGCGCACAGAAGAGAACTGCAACTGCAGTGCGCGCGCAACGTGCAACGCTGGGGCACCACCACGTAAGGCCATGCCCCCCATGCCATGCCAAAGAGCAACAAGTGTGCGTGTCCCAAGTCGTTTCCACTGCCGCGCTGCGAGTGCAAAGTTGAGAGCCAGACATAAAAAACCGACTGCAAATGGAAGAGATATAGAGGGAGGAAGAGAGAGAGAGAGAGAGAGAGAGAGAAGCTGCTGCGCAGTCGCCTTCCAAAGTCATTGGCGACGCGACTGACTCTGCTGCACGCCATCGGCATATAAAGCATGCGCAGGGAAGATACGCGACGAAAGCTTAAAAGCTTTTCCCTATGCTAAATGACAGATGCCCTTTCCAGGAATGGAATTTAATGGCACACACAATAAACGAATATGTTTTGAAATATTTTATGGAATATCTTACATACACTCTACACATGCGAGAAGGTACATCACGTATGGGAACACTATAAGAGAGTAATAAGAGTATGGAAACATTTTCAAATTAAATTAAAGTTGTTCATATAACAGTCGTCAGTATTTTTGGTGAATTAATAGACAATGGTTAAATGGAACTACAGCTGCAACATCACGGACTTATCACGATAAATCAGAAAAATAGGTTTTCAATAAAAGAGCATCATAAATTCTTGTTAATATCGTTTAGGCAAAGAACGTCCTATTAGCCTCGCTTCTTATTCTTCTCATACAATATTTGCCTCTCTGCCTTCTCGATCAGCAGTACTGCCAGAACGAACGGAGTTTCAGTCCCGCCAGACCCGAGACCCGAAAGACAAACAGACAGACAGCAAGAACTCAACATTCCATGGCCACTCGCAGGGCATAAGTTCGCGTCAAAGGTTTCCGAGTCAAGTCAAGTCAAGCAAAAAAACAACAAAAAACAACAAAATCAGTGAGCAGAGGAATGGTATTATGGAGAGGGGTGAGAAGCGAAGACACGAGAAGATGAGAGTGAAAAGCGCAAAAGGCAAACACAAGAACAAAAGCGAGGAATCAGCAGCAGCAGCAGCAGCAGCAGCCGGGATGCATTATAACCTTTGCCTGACGCTAAAGCTGACGATGCTGCAGCATCTCATATTGATATTGTACAAGTATTTGTAGTCATACCCTCTACAGAAAGGGTATTATCAATTTGTTTTGGTGGTGTGTAACCCAGAACAGGAAGCACTTGTAGGGGTTAAGTTTTTAGTTATTTTTAGAACATTTTTGTCGACGATACACCATACACCTTTATTGTATCTATTAGAGCTCTGGTATATCCTCCCACAAGGGTATCTTAAACTTCGCCAGAAATCTCTTTTAACCTTCTTCTTGGCTTTCATATTAGCTTGCTGTGCTCTTCGAATCTTGCTCGGGGTCTGGGTCTCCATGCAAGATGTGATCGGGTCGCTTCTGTATTGGAAGAATCTTGCCCTTTCCTCACTTCCTCGTCTGTTGACTTCAACGATGAATCCGACTCGTTTTGCATTTTAATTTTTACCCAACAACGAGCGATCTTTTTCATCATTATCATCATCATCGTCGTCGCCGCATCGTCGCTTCGTCGTTGGCTTGTTTATTTTTATTTTTGATTATTTTCATTTTAAAGCTCCTTGCAGTCCGATATTTTTTGTTGCTTTTGCTTTTTATCGCCACTTGTCGACCATTTGGGCGTTCATTTGTGTCTCCCTCTAACCCCGCTCCCACTCACCGCTCTTTTTTTTTGGGGACCCGCAGCTCCGGCTGGGGCCCCGGTCAAAGTCAAGTCAAATCGCGAGAGGCATCGAAATTGCGTTCATTCCTTATATTTTTAAACTTTTATTTAATGAAAAATTTGCATGTTGAATGCTTAATTTTTGCCGCAATGCCCCAGCAATGCTCTCGACGTGAACTTGCGGATTCCGGGCAGCGGTTTGGGTAGCAGACATTTTTTTTTGTATGGTCAAAAGGTTGTCACAACAGGCAGGGCAAGGCGTACAAGTTTCAGGTACAGTATACAAAAGCATACAAAGGGATATGAGATAAGTACATGCTTAAGCTTTTAAAGCTTTACGTGCGAATGTGGTAAGCTTTAGTTTGTCCTGGAATAAAAATAATCGAAAGCTTATGGCATAATTCATAGATATCCTTTAATTCGTTATTTTACTTATTTTAAACTGAAATCTTTCTCTAATTCAAACGAAATTTCTTCCAGTTCTAAATTGCGCGAGCATTTATTTTTGACGAGAATTAAATTTTTGCCATACCTTCATTTCATTCATAAATTAACTGAATTAATATAATTATTATAATGCTAATTGCGCCACGTGCCGCTTTACTGATTTGTTACCATTATTATGTTAAAAAGAACTGCTAAGATACGCTGGAAGAGAGCGACAGAATAAGACCAAGACTGTCAAGCTGACAGTATGATATGATATGATAGTTCCACTCCCAAGACACTAGAACAAAAATGATCTATCAATATTAAAACCTTAATCGAACAGTTGCAATCATTATAGCCATTTCAGGCACCTTTTCTGACGTCATAGAAAAACCCCAATTCTTTCTCGTTCGGTGACTCGGTTCGATCCGTCTTGTTTGTGATCTCCGTTCTACCTTTTACTTTTTTTTTGTTGTACTGATTAACCGATTTATATCTATATGTATATGGTATGTACACAAGCATTTATTTATTTTCTGTTTGGCTTATAACTTTTTGTGTGTGTTTCACAATGTGCATGTCGAACAGAAATTCTCGTTTTTGCATGCTGACTGCTGCTGTCTCGGAGTGACCAAAGCACAAGCAAAAGTTGAAGCCAAAGCTAAAGTTAAAGCAAAAGTCAAAGGTGAGGCCCCATGACATCATGGCTCTGTAGGAGACTTGTACTTGACTCCCTCCAGTAGAAGCAAGTGAAACGTTGAAAGATCTTTCAACTGAACATAAAAACCCAGAACACCATTCAATCTAATTAATCCATCCACAAAAAAACAAAAACACATACAAACAAATAAAAATGAAAAAAATGTCACACGCCCATAAATAAAATGTGAAAACAGAACCCACAACATCAGATCAACCTCCTCCCCCCCGCGAGTGAGCCAAAGGTGAGACAAATTTACGGCGGCAACAAACGGAAAAAATTGTAATAAAAAAAAGCACAAAGCAAACAAACAAAAACAGAAACCAAAACCATTTTGATCGTAGACTGCAACGAGGGGGCCAGTCGTTGACGGCCTTTCGACAACCGATCCGCAAGCAATATAAACCCCGAAACGAATCGAAAAACATAAAGAATACAATAACAAATAAAGCAAAAGGAAAATAAATAGAAATTAGGAACATGTTTGGGCAATTGAGACACCCTTTAGAGAAAATGTTCAGTGCAAAGCAGCTCAACAGAACCGAGTGATTCATCTTGGGCATCATTATGATTCATTGAAGTACTCAAATAAGCAGTCATTAAGAAACAGCTTTGTTGAGCAATTTACTAACGTTTAAACGTTTCAGCTTAGCTGTGTCTTTGATTGTTAACTGTGGGAGTCTAATATCAGAAGTTGTGAAATATAAATTGAATTAAAAATTCTTAAAAGTTCAAATACATCATTAAAAATTTCACTGGAAGTATCTGAATCCATTAGATAGGCACATTCATATTTTCATTATCATATCGCTGTTCTATATTTATGTTTTTTAACTACAATATGACCAGAAAAAGATAGATGTATTCTGTCTTAAATGCTAGTAAATCCATTTTAAATTAATTTGCTTTTCTTGCAACACCCGTGTACCCAAGTTCCCCTAAGTCCTAATCAACAGCTGCCAAATTCTGTGGCGTACAGGGTACAAGAGGATACAAAGACGGCTCAAAAACAAGAGCGTAAAGCGATAGTTGAACTTTCAACACCTTTTTCACTCGCCGCCCCGAGGCACCTATTGCAGGGGGGGCAGCACAAAGCATTACTTACCGGAATAACACCAGGCTGGCCATACTACTGTTGTCTCCGTATCAATTTCCTTCATTATGGGGGCTCAACATATTGTCAAACCACCGCTACTGCTGCCGCCGCTGCTGCTCCCACTCTCTCTGTCGCACTTTTCAACTATCTCTTTTGCTCTTTCCAGGCGGTGTGTCTCTTTCGCTCTTTCGTGGGTTACAAGTGGCCCCTCTGCAAGTGAGAGAAGTGAAGGCAGGAAATAAGTAGTAAGTAGTGAGGAGAGCATGGACAAATCATGAGTCTTATAAAATTATTTTAACACTTTTACGCTCGACCACTTCTTCAATTAAGTTGCCAGAGCCACAACTTTTGCAAGCAATTTTCAGTTGTGTTTTTGGCCATTTATGTTGCTAATTTATCTTTGTTCGTTTTATCCACCCGTCCGTCCGCGTGTCCCTCGTGATGGTTCAGTAATCATCATCATCATCATCATCATCATCATCATATAATACTGGTTGTATCTGTGTGTACACGTATCTATCTATGTATCTGCAAGTGTGCAGTTTGTCTAGTCGTCAGGTGTTTGCTTAATTAATTTACCGCCTGTCAAATGTATCTACGAGTGTTCTTCTCTTTACGCTTTGTTTTTGGGTAATTAAATGCTATTAAATGCTGTCAAAATTAATGCATTTCTTGGGTTAATGTATTTATTTTGGTTATTATTTGATTACGGACGCATTTTTATTCATATTTATTGTACAAATGAGCAGCAAGGGATATAACTAAATAAACAAAGACTTAGCAGAGGTGAACACAGATCTTCAACCTATAAAACAACATTTTCCTGAAGAAGCTTGCAATATATTCTCTTTTCCATACTAATATTATGTTTTATTGACATCAATTGCCTACTCAAACTACGTTTGGAAGCTCAAAACTTAGAGCCAAGTTGCATTTTTCTGTCCACAAAATGATTCAACAACATCCACTATGCAAATTCCTAAAATATAGAGCTAATGCCTAAAATCAAATATGACATTAAAACGTGTCTTGGAACCTAGTTGGAATTGGTTCGAAACTTTAACCTTTGCTGTTTTAGTTGATGAAACAAAGGAAAAGTTTAAGGTCGCGTTGGCGGCTATCAAATATTTAAACAGCTTTTTGCATTTATGTATATTTATATATTATCTCTCTCTCTCTCTATCTCTCTCCGTCGCTCTTTAACGGTTTGCTGCTTCTGTCTCTGTTTTTGCTTTGTTTCGGTTTGTATTTTTCCAACTCAAATTGAAATTTGAATTTACCTTTTTGATTGTTTAAACGTTGATTGCCCTCAACAAGTGTCTATTGTTGCATTTTCTGTGGTATTTGTTGCTAACTAACTGTAGTGGCGGCTAGGCTGCCAAGCTGATTGCCAGACTGATTGACTGATTATACTGCTGTCAAGATGTCATTTACGCTTGTATCCGCCGTAGTAGTCTCAATATTTATCGTTTTTAAACTATTTCCCTTGTCCCTTGTATACTGCTGATATTTGTGGTTTAATTAGACAAAATTTTATTTTTACTTAGTTTTAATTCTTCTCCTCCGAAAGCCGACACCTGTTAGAATCTTTATCTTCTATTATGTCCGTTCAAAGTTTTCTTGTGGGACAACCAAAAATGTTCGAATTGTTTCTGACATTTTCCGAACTAAATTATAATGAGTATCGGATAGCATTTGTCGAATTATTTAGTTCAGCTATTTCATTTATAAATGCACTATTTTTTAATGGTGGAAATTATTTAGTAATTTGTTTACCTCTTTACTTTTTTACGTATTTCCCCGACTTCTAGCACTTTTTTTTTTTAAATCTTGTTGTGGTTTTATTTATATTTAATTTACGTTTGGAAATTGATTTATTTTAATTAGTTGCTGCTTGAATTTAATGGATACAAATAATATATTATTCGGACAATCAACATTTGTGCTTTGTATCTTTGAACTTTCAAAATATTGTTTATTTAAGGCCCGGTTTTGGAATATCTTCTTTATATCTGTATTTTTGTGTGTGTTACTTTTGACTTTTAAACTTGATTTTTTTGCGTTTCACTTTTTTGGAGCTCTTGGATTTGCATATGTTCGGTATTTCTTTCTTTATCACTTTTTCCCCTCTCTCTCTCAAACGCACTATCACGCACTCACTCTCTTGCACACTATTTCACCCTCTTTCTCTTTGCTTTCTTTCGGTGTCCCATTCATTTATTGTTGGTCACGTGCACTGTGCTATTCAGCTACTCGCGTAAACCGATTTGTATCCGTCGTCGGTTGTGCACACGTGAGATTTCTGTGTAAAAATATCCGCCAGTAGACGTACAAAACAGCTTCGGAATGAACTTTTTGTTTTATCTCGGTGCGATTTATTTTTAGTTTAGGGATTAGTTGTGCTCCCCCTCGGCACGAGAGGCTGTTACAGTTACGGTTATGTGACGGATGCACTCTCGAGTTGTATATTTTTTGATCACTTTTAAGCTGCTAATCTGCTTTTCCGCACAACTCCCACGCAATTTTCTGTGTATTTTTATATTCTGGCTGTATTTACGCGCGAGCGAATCGATCACTGATAAAGCGGTCGGTCTCTTTTTTCGCACACCTTCCAAAGCAAAGCACACGACGACGCGAGCACGAGCAAAACCGTACTGAACGAGCGGTTCCCAATAAGAACGAGCCCTCGTCCAATAAGAAAACAACAAAACGAGCAAGAGGAAGTGGAGCCGCAGCACACACGTGCAGTCCAAAGAGAGTAAAACAGAGAGCCGCAGTCAGCTGTGTCTGATTTGAGAGAGAGAAAAGCTTAAGAGAACGTTTGATGATCAGTCGATACTCACATAAGAGACAGGTGGCTCATGTTTTTGGTAGTTTTTTCCTGATTTAATTTAGGTTTCTTAATTATTTATGTTATGCACTGAGCTCGGAGCTTCCGAGAAATAAGAAGTTAGCTTTTTGAAAGAGATTAAGAGAGAGCACAGTAAATGCTCTCACGTGAACAATGTTTTTGAATGAATTTTCTGAATTTAAGAGAGTCTTAGTTATCAGTACAGTAAGAGCTAGAGTTTATTCCTCTCTTCTGCGGGCATAATTAAGAGAGCGTACGAAGAGAGTAAACAGTGTTTTATCAGTACAGTAAAAGCTGACAAGTGAGACAGGTGGATTTCCAACTATAAATCTCCTTCCGATGATGACCACTGCCCACTGTACTCCAATCTCCCTTTGAATTCTCTTGCCATCTTTGATTTCTTCTCTTCATACGAACTGCACTCCATATTATCAGCGCAAAAAAAGGGTTCACTGAAGGTCAGCTGGTCAGAGTTCAAGTGGCAATGAGAATGAGCGGACATGACGGAATGTGACAAGAATGAGAGGGAGAAACGCAGCGGCGATAAAAACTGTAACAACAGCAACAGCTTTACAACGTTGGAAGAGGTGCCAAGAGAGAGGAGGACAGATAGAGGTGGAGTATTAGAATATGTGAGGTGGGGTTAGGAGAGGAGAGGCCGCCGTCTGACGGATAACAAAGTGTAGGCGTAACTGTAACTGTATTTGTGGAAAGAGAGAGAGAGATACGCAGGCAGACGCATATTTGTGCCGTTGCTGCGCCCGTCGCCTGGCCATTTGATACTTTGGCCTCGTCACTCGTCAATCAACAGAAACAACAGGGTAGGGGTAGGGGTAGGGGAAGGGGCTAGAGGAAGGAGCAGTGGCACAGTGGCACAACCAGTGGCAGTAGCAGCAGCGGTGCAAGCAGCAGACATATCGCAGTTTGCAGTTTGCAGTTGTGTTCCGTTATTTGTCCAGTGTTGCATTGCACTTTCCCTCATATTTTTCTAGCTGTTTGTCCAGTTGTTGTTGGATATAACCGAACCCCATCGATAGACTGGGTAACGTAAACCATATGCATATTAATTTTCCATATAACACCATTATATTCCAATGAATAAATCTGTCCATCGTCCTTATCGCATGACATATGCATTCGTGTATGTATTTTCAGTGAAAATCAAAATCGATGTGTGGCTCCAAGCGTGGATGTGGACGACCTGAACAACCTTAAGATCAACAGAACGCAGAAAATAACAGCAGGCCGCAGACAGCAGACGTCAAATAAAAAGTATAAGAAAAATAAATGTGTATATATTGGATACCTCTTAATGGCGGAGTATACAGGGTATATGAGACAGCTGAAAAGTAATGGAAGAGGCTGCTTTCTTGTCCTTAAATATTGTTTATGGTAAATAAATAAAGAGACTGGTGCAACTTGTTTCTCTATCCAAAATAATGTCTACTCTAAAATCAGTCAAGATTTGAGATAAAGAAACATTCTTTTCATTTGCAAAGGCCTTTAGATATCGCAAAATTGATAAAACTTCTGTGATCAGTCCAGCACAGTTGTCTACTCTAAATCATAAAAATAGTATGAGAAAGATCAGTTTCGAAAATCTCCCATTGATAAATCCAATTATCAAGTACACCCAATGTCTTTATAAAACAGATTTAATCGTTTTTACTTGTTTTACATAAATACAATATACAGTATAAGTATTTATGTACAAACATATGTACATATATAGAGTCCACAGGCTACAGCCACAGATGAGAGATCCGCACACTTAACCCAAAACGAGACCAAAAAGGCGAAACAGAGGCGACCGGGCCATGACGGGATCGGCGGCAGCGGCAGCGGCAGCGGCGACGACGACCAACGACCGACGACCGATGCGACGGCAACGTCGACGGCGACCTGAGTTGGCGGCGAAATATTTTTAGAACTCATGCGACCGATGGCGGCAGGGTGGACCGGCGGGGGGAGGGATGCCAGGGGCAAAGGGGACATGCATATATTGTAGTACTTCGGTATCTGTATCTCAGGCAGAGCCCCAACCTCAGGTCTGTCTGCCTTTTTTTGCTCTTGCAGGGCGCTCAGCGAGAGAGAGAGGTCAGAAGGTCTGTGATCTTTTGCAAAGAAAAAAAAAACAAAAACAATTCTCCGAACTGCAGAGAAGAACAAAAGGCAGCCTGGCAAGCGTTCGAGTGTGTGTGTGTGCGGGTATCTGTGAGATACATTTTTGCTGTTCATATATAGATATATCTATAGGAAAATCTATATGTGTGTCGCTGTGTGTGTGTGTCTGTTGGCCGGGCAAAAAGTCAAATGACAGCAATCTTTTGGTTAGATAAATAGGTAAGAACCCAACAGA